GCCATTAAGCACCACAGAAGACACTTACCATGGTCTCAGAGATCATCCCCTTCCATCTTCTTCATGATGGAGTTCCCGATTCTTCTTTCTTTTTTTTGTTGTTGGAATACTCAAAAGCCTTTTGGTGACTTTAACTCTGACAAATGCATCTGCTCTTGAACCTCTGTATGGATTCCTTCTTGGAGGTAGAAGAATTTTCAACCTATTGCTGATCATTGAAGAGTCTTATTCCCAAGTGTACCAATCCTGCAGAACTCACCATTTTGCCAGGCCATCTTCAACAGCTGTTAAATCAAAAGGTTTTCTTTGGCAAAATGTGCTGGTTTATGGTCCTCCTTCTCACCCAGAGGGATCACCACCACCAGCACCCATCCTGCTCAAGCAGTTGAGCAGCAGGTCTCCCTGTCCTGAGAGATTTACTCACCGTATCTTGAATTTGTTCCTTAACCGTATCTTGACTTTTCACAGCCAGGCAGGCTTTGTGACATTCTGACCTTGCAGCCCAATATGGAGGATGCTTATTGGTTAGAAATTTGTTTCCTTTGGCATTTGCAAAGGGGTGACCCTAGGGCAGGGCAGAATCATAGAATCACAGAATCATGGAATGGGTTGGTGTCGTGGTTTAAACCCAGTCAGGTAATTCGTTCGCTCACTTCCCCCCCTTTCTTGCCCTCCCCCTGCTCTCGGAGGGACGGAGAGGAGAATCAAAAAGAATGCAACTCCCACAGGTTGAGATAAGAGCAGTTTAGTAACTAAGGTATAACACAAATCACTACTGCTACCACCAGTGATAATAATGATAAAGGAAATAACAAGGGAAGAGAATACAACACCTCAGCACCAGCCGACCGATAACTTGCCCCCCTCAGCCCGACCAAGCACCGACTGATACCTCCACCAACCCCGCAGTCTCCCAGCCCTTCCGGCTAACTCCCAGTTACATCCTGGGCATGACGTGCTGTGGTATGGAATACCTCTTTGGTCAGTTTGGGTCAGGTGTCCTGTCTCTGCTTCCTCCTGGCTTCCCCTCCTCCCTGGCAGAGCATGAGGCTCACAAAGTCCTTGGCCAAACCAAAACATCCTTGTTATCAGCTCCGTTCCCGAGCTGAAAGTCAAAACACTGCACTACACCAGCTACCAAGAAGGGGAAAAATGACTGCTACTGCTGAACCCAGGACATTATCCACCCCTTATTCCATACCATTCACGTCATGCTCAGATCCCACATTTTCAATATACCATCACTCTTATCTCAGTGCACTCTTATCTTAGTGCATGGACCAGTCCCTATAAAGCTGCTGTGTCCATCTGGTCCATGATGCCAGACTCCATCTCTTGTAACAGTCTTCCAGAGCAGGAGAGACTGTGTGCAGTGTTCACACTCGTGAATAACTTGGGCAATAGTGTCCATTGCTAGGTCCACCCCTTGATCATGAGTCCATCTCTGTGTTGCATCTCTGCTCTGATGGCCTGAAGTGCCATGGGCCCACCAGGCTTAAAATAATTCACTGTCCTCTTAAGCAGTTTCTGCAGCTTGCTGCTGGGGACTCCATACAGCTGCCTTCCATCTCCGACGCTTCCAAAGCACTGGAGGGGCCCAGTGGACTAGATACTTGCCCATACTGTCCCACACACCCTGCCACTCATCACTGTCCAGCCTTGGAGAAAACCTCTTGGTCCCCCTATATCCTCGTCTAACCCCAGACAAGACCCAAACCTCACTCTGCTTAACTTTTGAGATCAGACAAAATGGTTGTGGGTAGCACACAGTCTGTGTGTGTGCCAACATACTGATCCCCATCACAATCAGTAGGCAGGTCCCAAGGATACCCAAAGGCCATTCAAAACCTTCAGAACTCTCACACGATGCTGCTGTGCTTGTCACTGGGGCTGGTGTAGCTGCTGTGCTTGCCGGCTCTCCCACCGCCAGCTTCTCTTTTCCTGCGTCCAGCTCTTCCTCCTCTGCCTTGCTGGGAAATGCTGCGTGGTCTCCTGCATCCTCCTGGGGCTCGGCGGGCGGCTTCCGGGAAACGCTCTCGGCTGTCGCGGGGCTCGGCTCGGCCGCGGGGCTCGGCTCCGCCGCGGGGCTCGGCTCCTCCGCCGCCTTCTCCCGCTGCTCGGCAGCCGCTTCCTTCTGCTCTTCGACCGCCCCGACCTCCTCCACCGGCAGCCGTCCCCTCGCGGCCTCCGGCCCCGCTCCCGCCGCCGCTTGGTCCCCGGGGCCGCTCTCCTGGGCCGGTTCGGCTGCCGCCGGCTCCCGGGGCCGCTCCCCCTCGGCTCCCCGCAGCCTCACGAAGATGGAGAGTAGGGCGAGGGCCAGGACGGTGAAGAGCAGCCGGACGGCCAGGTACAAGTCCACGGCCACGTCCGTCCCGCCCTGCTGCTGGAGCCCACCCGTATTACAAGCCATTGCCATAAAGCACAGTGAGACAAGAACCTTAGCCCAGGCCCCATACTTGATAAACACTAACACAGCAAATACCGGCTCTACGTAAGTTACAACATTCTGAAGCTGTGAGATCAAGCGAAACAACTCTGAGAGCCAATAAATCAGCATTGTGACGAGTGACTATTAATCCAGTCAAATCTGTCGTTATCTCAACCCTTCGTGCCCCACGTTGAGCGCCAAAAAGAACTGTCGTGGTTTAAACCCAGTCAGGTAATTCGTTCGCTCACTTCCCCCCCTTTCTTGCCCTCCCCCTGCTCTCGGAGGGACGGAGAGGAGAATCAAAAAGAATGCAACTCCCACAGGTTGAGATAAGAGCAGTTTAGTAACTAAGGTATAACATAAATCACTACTGCTACCACCAGTGATAATAATGATAAAGGAAATAACAAGGGAAGAGAATACAACACCTCAGCACCAGCCGACCGATAACTTGCCCCCCCTCAGCCCGACCAAGCACCGACTGATACCTCCACCAACCCCGCAGTCTCCCAGCCCTTCCGGCTAACTCCCAGTTACATCCTGGGCATGACGTGCTGTGGTATGGAATACCTCTTTGGTCAGTTTGGGTCAGGTGTCCTGTCTCTGCTTCCTCCTGGCTTCCCCTCCTCCCTGGCAGAGCATGAGGCTCACAAAGTCCTTGGCCAAACCAAAACATCCTTGTTATCAGCTCCGTTCCCGAGCTGAAAGTCAAAACACTGCACTACACCAGCTACCAAGAAGGGGAAAAATGACTGCTACTGCTGAACCCAGGACAGTTGGGTTGCAAGGACCTTAAGATCACCTAATACCAATCCCCTGACAACTTCCACTAGATCAGGTTGCTTCAAGCACCATCCAGCCTGGCCTTGAACACTGACAGGGATGGGGCAGCCACAGCTTCTCTGGGCAACCTGTGCCAGGGCCTCAGCAGTCTTTCACCTGCCCCCACAGCTCCACTTGCCTCAGAGCTTCCAGACTGCAGCATGTCCTGAATTCCTCTTTGCAAGACGAGCCTCATCCTGCACTGTGTTATCATACCATAGCTTGTGGTACGACAGCAGTCACAGCTGATGACTGCTGACCTTGTGTCTTTGTGCTTCTCCAGCGTTCTCTCTGAACCACCGATGATAGGGAGCATCCACCTGCAGTGCAAGGCTGGGCTCAGGTCTGTGGGATGCTCGCAAGACATGACATCATGGCTGAGTGGCATCACTCTAACGTCACATCACGCCCCTCCCCAGCAGGCGGGTACATCAGGCTGCAGCCCCGCCTCCCCCAGAGCCCCGGGGTTACCCTGGAGCGGTATCCATCGCCGGGAGAGCGGTACCCAGGGACGGGGAGCGGTACCCAGCGCCGCGGGACGTGATGCAGGGCGGCCTGAGCTCGGCGGGGCCCGCCGGTGAGCGCGGGGCTGCGGGGCTGTGCCCGAATGAATGAGGTGTGGAAGGGCTGCGGGCGGCCGGAGCGGCGCTGGCCGTCCTGCATCACCGCAGCGCCGGCAGCTGGCTCTGCGCCGGCTTCCCTCCGCCACCCTGCCCGGGGTAACGGCGTGAGGTGCTGCTGCCATTTGGGGCCGGTCGCGGGAGTGTCGCGTTGCTCTTCCATCCCTTTCCTGGCCCTTTGGCTTCTCGGCAGGGGCCTGATACGGCTTTCTTCATGCGCCTGACACACACCCGCCTCTGCTTCATCTGTGGAGGCCTCATGTAAAGTAGATCTTTTCTTATCCACTCCAGGAGCATCATGGTCCCTCTCTCTAAAAGAGGGCAGATTCAGGCTGGATGTGAGGAAAAAATTCTTTGCAATGTGGGTGGTTAAGTACTGGAACGTGTTGTCCAGGTGTGGTAGGCATACCAGCCCTGGAGACATTCAAGGCCAGGCTGGATGTGGTTCTGGGCAACCTGATCTAATTGAAGAGGTCCCTGCTCATTGCAGGGGGGTTGGACTAGATGACCTTTGGAGGTCACTTCCAACCCAAACTGTTCTATGATTCTATTCTGTGATTCCATGCTGCTCAGTAGCTGGTGTATATAATTTTGGGGTTGCTGAGGTCAGATTTCTAGTTGTTCCCTTGGTGTTTCAGGCTGACATCATCTCTTGGCGGGCTGTGCAAGGGATACGGCGTCGTCCCACGGTCTTGCATCACCTCTATAAAGCAAGCGGCGGAGGTTGTGTGTGTGTGAAGGTTATTTTAACTGAGGTTAGCCAACACCTGCCTGCCAGACAGAACAGAACAAGCATGGCCACCCCTCTGCCCTGGCACATCCACCGTGCCAGGGGACACAGGGAAGGACGCAGTGTTCCCTTACCTCAGTCTGGGGCTTTCCAAGCCAGAGGAAATGCCAGCAAAGGGTGTGTGATGTCCTGCCAGGCTGCATCAACTGTTGGTTGAGCTGAGAGGATCTCCCAGTTGTTGCAGCTTGAACACTCTAAATGTGGTGATCCGAGGGACTTCCCAGTTGGCAGCACCCGGGAGTAAGGCTTTCCTATGGGACACAGAAGGTGGCATGTGCTTTGTCTTCTGGATGCCCATGGCAGGTGGTATCTTGCCACTCAAGCTGTTCTTGATACAGGTGGAAGAAGCAGAGGAGCTTTCCAGCACATAAGCCCTTCTTCTTTAGGGTCAAAGCAGAAACTGGATTTGGAGAGAGACATGAGTGGAGAACAATAGCTGGGAGTTCAGCGCTTGGTGTGGACCATGTGCCCACGGCTGTTTGCTGGTTTGGAAGTACCAATGGTTAAGAATCTGCAGGATCCTGTGCCCAGCGAGTATCTTAACTTTCTTTGAAAGAAGCAAGCTCTGGACTTCTTTGCTTAGCTCTGTGGAGGAGCATCCCATGGGATCTCAGCAGCTATGCAGCCCCTGGAATGCAGTGGGAGATTTGGGTTTTGGTTCTGAGCTCTCTCTCTTCCCTCTTACCCATTTTCTTTGACATTTACTGTTGTGGGATTTCCCAGACCTAACCCATGAGTTTATTTTTCTTGTCACCGTAGTGTTCTATCAATAGCTAATACATAAGAAACTACTAGCTTAAATAAACATGTTTTTGTCTTTTTCATGAGCAGCAGGTGATTGCTGCTTGTAGAACACATTGGAAATCCTGCAAAGGAACAGTAGCTGGCACTTAACTCGCTAAATGTCATTTTATGAGCTTGTTTCTTTCTTTCCCCTCTTTTCTCTATCTCTGTGCTTTAATCTTCTTGCAAAACTCAGAAATTCCCTCCTATCAATGGAGATAATTGCTTTACATTCCAAGATATGTTTGCTTCATGCTAATCCTTTGTGCAGCAACCGATCAGTTTCAGACCTGTCTTTCAGAGATGACGCTAGGTTGTGTGATGCTGTTAATTAAAGGAGCTGGTTGCATAGCTTTGGTGTCCTCTGCCTATCACAAATGTGCAGACATTTCAGAGCCAAACAAATGTGAACAGAGTGATATCCCTGGCTGCTGCTCTCATGAGCAAGCTCTTTTTTCTTCTCTTTTTTTTTAAGGTGTGGGACAACTCCTACTTTCTGTCTGGTTTTGATTGGCTTTCAGAAGAGGCAGTGTCCTATAAATTGCCCTCGCCGACCTGCTTCTGCTCTATCACCAGCTGACAGACAGGTGAGTACAGAAAAGGAAAGATTCCAGCCTGTATCGCTTAATCCTTGACATTAACATTGGTGGTTAATTGAAATTAGTGGGGTAGGGGAAATAAATTCCATGTTTCAGGAGAAAAATGGCTCGTTTTCCTTGATCTAGGAAATGAAAGAGCTTGTTTCGAATATCAGGTTTTGTCAGTGTGTAAACCCAGTGTCTGAGAAAGTAGTCAGAAGATAAGGGGGGGGGGTTGGGGGGGGGGGGAAGAGTGTGTTTGAAAATAGGTATGATTGTTCTCTCCCCAGTTCCTAGCAGTACAGAAGTACTCCTCTGTAACAGTAGGATAAAGAAACCTATAGTTTGGGATAGCAAGAAAGAGAAACCTATAAAAAAAAAAAAAAAGGAATGTTCTTTTTTACATCGGTTAAATGAATACTTTTTGTGTTTAGAGCTGTTAATAACTCCTTGAAGTTAAGTGGGAAACTGATCTAACAGAAGGGGCTTTTCTGTCCAAGTTACTTTTGTGAGCTAATCACTGTGTTGGGGCCAGCTTTATCGCATGGTTGGTTTGGGGGAATGTTTTTAAGGCATATTGTTAATTTCTTAATGGATCTGTGCATTGGTTGGCAACTTTAGAATTTCATAGGTAGTTACAGCATTTCCCACCCACCCTCCCCTTCATATTTGAAATAGAAATAAATGCATGTCGTAGGTGGTGATTTTTGCATGCAGTTGTGCTGCTGGGTGAGAGAGGGATGGTTTTCAGTATCTGGTATAAAGTGTGTTTACTGCTCTTTAGAGTCAGCCTAGGCTTACACGTAAATTCTCAGCTAAAGCCTGGGAATTTCACTCCAGGTATGTTTGGAGAAACCAGTTCAGTAGGTGGGAAAACAGCTAGCCATGAGTGTGGCATTTTCAGTAGCACCTAACTTCAGTTTGTACTTTGTTTATAGAGCTCAAAATGCCTTTTCAGGTACTTCAAGCAGAAATTCTCTGCAGCAGAGGCCAGAGAGGCTCTCTTATTGCCATAATAGCTGTTTATTGTCCCATTCTGAAAGAAGAAAGGTTTATCATGGCTCTTTAAAAGGCTCTCACTGCCCTTTAACGCTTTCACATGGGTTTCCTAGGAAGAAACTTGTTTTATGAGGTTGAATTGTCTGGATATGTCTGCCTGCTGCTTTCGGCCCCTGCACACATAACTATTTTTGCACCTATTGGCTAATTTCAAGTAAGCTTGACAGAGACTGGGTCTGAAACACATCTGTTTTGTGAAGATGGGTTTGCAGGGGAAGGAAATCTCATTAGTGCCTTGGCTGAGCATTAGAGAATGGTTGTGGTTGGAGGGGACCTCTGGAGATCATCTGATCCATCCCCCCCTGCTTAAGCAAGGCCACCCAGAGCTGGTTGCTCAGGACCATCTCCAGATGGCTGTTGAAGATCTCCAAGAATGGAGACTCCATCAGCTCTTTGGGCAACTTGTGCCTATGCTTGGTCACCCTCACAGTAAAAAAGTGTTTCCTGATGTTCAGAGGAATCTGCTGTGTTTCAGTTTGTGCCCATGGCCTCTGGTCCTCACACTGGACACCACTGAAAAGAGCCTGGATTCCTCCTTTGCACCATCCCTTCACGTATTTATGTACATTGGTATTCCCTTGCAACCTTCTGTTCTCCAGGCTGAGCAGTCCTCAGCCTCTTTTCATAAGAGAGATGTTGCTGTCCCTTCATCATCTTGGTGGTCCATCAGAAATATAAACTGAACTGTACTAATGAGTGGCAGAGGATCAAGATAGGAGAAAGATGTCATAACCTCTGAGACTGAGCCCTCAGGAAATGGAGCTTTCTCACTTTCAGCACTCAAGGAATAGCTTGCTTGCTCTATTTTATAGGTGGAGTTAGATGCAGGTATATAGGGTTGGTGTGTAGCAAGGAATTGCTAGAGACTTGTGCAAAGCCTAGCAAAGATAGAGTGATTGCTTCTGTGGCACTGTGACAGGAGAGATATGGCTTTAATAGATCAAGCCTATAATCAGGGAGACTGACTCACAGTATCACAGTATGCTAGAGATTGGAAGGGACCTCAAAAGATCATCTAGTCCAATCCCCCTGCCGGAGCAGGAACACCTAGATAATGTTACACAGGGATGTGTCCAGGCAGGTTTTGAATGTCTCCAGGGAAGGAGACTCCACAACCTCCCTGGGCAGCCTGTTCCAGTGTTCCGTCACCCTCACTGAGAAGAAGTTTCTTCTCAAGTTTAGGTGGAACCTCTTGTGTTCCAGTTTGTACCCATTACCCCTTGTCCTATCATTGTTTGCCACTGAGTAGAGCCTGGCTCCACCCTCATGACACTCCCCCTTTATATATTTATAGACACTTATAAGGTCACCCCTCAGTCTCCTCCAAACTACAGAGACCCATCTCCCTCAGTCTTTCCTCATAAGGGAGATGCTCCTCTCCCTTAATCATCTTCGTTGCCCTGCGCTGGACTCTCTCCAGCAGCTCCCTGTCCTTCTTGAACTGAGGGGCCCAGAACTGGACACAATATTCCAGGTGGGGTCTCACCAGGGCAGAGTAGAGGGGAAGGAGGACCTCTCTCAATCTACTAACCACCCCCCTTCTAATACACCCCAGGATGCCATTGGCCTTCTTAGCCACAAGGGCACAGTGTTGGCTCATGGTCATCCTGTCGTCCACTAGGACCCCCAGGTCCCTCTCCCCTACACTGCTCTCTAACAGGTCGTTCCCCAACCTATACTGGAACCTGGGGTTGCTCCTGCCCAGATGCAGGACTCTACACTTTCCCTTGTTATATTTCATCCAGTTATTCCCTGCCCAACTCTCCAGCCTGTCCAGGTCTCGCTGGATGGCAGCACAGCCTTCTGGCGTGTCAGCCACTCCTCCCAGCTTAGTGTCATCAGCAAACTTGCTGATAGTACACTCAATTCCCTCATCTAAATCATTGATGAATATATTAAATAATACCGGTCCCAGTACTGACCCTTAAGGCACTCCACTAGTTACAGGCCTCCAACTAGACTCAGCCCCATAGACTACAACTCTCTGTCTTCTCTCCTTCAGCCAGTTCACAGTCCACCTCACTACCTGATCATCCAGACCACACTTCCTCAGTTTAGCTGCGAGGATGCTGTGGGAGTCTGTGTCAAATGCTTTGCTGAAGTCAAGGTAGACCACATCCACCGCTCTGCCATCATCCATCCACCGTGTTATTTCCTCATAAAAGGCTAAGAGATTGGTCAAACATGATTTCCCCCTGGTGAAGCCATCTTGACTGCCCCTCATAACCCTCTTATCCTTGATATGCCTTAAGATGGCACCAAGGATAAGGTGTTCCATCACTTTCCCAGGGATGGAGGTGAGGCTGACCGGTCTATAGTTACCCGGGTCCTCCTTCTTGCCCTTTTTGAAGACCGGAGTGACATTTGCCTTCCTCCAGTCCTCAGGCACCTCTCCCGTTTCCCAAGACTTGGTAAAGATGATGGAGAGTGGTCTAGCAATGACTTCCGCCAGTTCCCTCAGCACCCGTGGGTGCATCCCATCTGGACCCATGGATGTATGGATGTCCAGATTGCTCAACTGGTCTCTAACCCATTCCTCATCGACTAAGGCAAACCGCTCCGTCGACCTGACTTCATCTAAGGTCTCAGGGGTACAGGGCTCTTCAGGGCTGCCTGCAGCACAGTAGACAGAGACAAAGAAGGCATTCAGTAACTCTGCCATCTCTGTATCTTCTGTCACCAGGGCACCCATCCCGTTCATCAGTGGGCCTACATTGCCTCTGGTGTTAGTTTTATCTGCCATGTATTTGAAAACGCTCTTTTTGCTGTCCTTGACCCTTCTCGCCAGGTTTAATTCTAAGGAGGCCTTAGTCATCCTAGCTGCCTTCCTACATCCTCTAGCAGCAGCCTTATATTCCTCCCAAGTGGCCAGCCCCTCCTTCCATGACCTGTAAACTCTCCTCTTCCACTTGAGCATACCCAGCAATTCCCTATCTAGCCACGCAGGTCTCCTGGCCCTCTTCCTTGACTTCCTACGTGTCGGGATGCTCCAATCTTGAGCACGGAAAAAGCAGTCCTTGAATGCCAACCAACTATCTTGGGCCCCTTTACCTTCAAGCAGCCTTGCCCATGGGATTTCCCCTAGCAATTGCTTGAAAAGGCCAAAGTTTGCCCTGCTAAAGTCCAGGGTTGCAATTCTACTTGGTATTCTACTAGTCCTACCACACAAGATCCTGAATTCCACCATCTCGTGGTCGCTGCAACCAAGGCAGCCCTCAACCCTTACTGCTTTGACCAGACCCTCCTTGTTAGTGAGGATGAGATCCAGCAGCGCTCCTCTCCTGGTCGGCTCATCCACCATTTGCAGGAGGAAGTTATCATCCATACACTGGAGGAACCTCCTGGACTGTGGCTGGGTTGCCGAGTGGTCCTTCCAGCAAACATCAGGGAAGTTAAAATCCCCCACGACAACCACAGCCTGTGACTGTGAGGCCGCTCTCAGCTGCCTGTAGAAGGCCTCGTCAACTTCCTCACCCTGATCTGGAGGTCTGTAACAGACACCCACAACAGTATCGCCCCTGCCAGCCTGCCCCTTAATTCTCACCCACAGACTCTCAACTCGCTCGTCATCTGTCCCTGGACAGAACTCGGTGCATTGTAGCTGCTCTCGCACATAAAGAGCAACCCCACCACCCTTCCTGGATGGCCTGTCTTTCCTGAAAAGGACATAGCCCTCCATGACTATATTCCAGTCATGTGAGCTGTCCCACCACGTCTCTGTAATTGCCACCAGATCATAGTCTCCTGACTTAACACAGGTTTCCAACTCCTCCTGCTTATTTCCCATGCTGCGCGCATTGGTGCACAGACATTTCAGGGAGCGAGCTGAGCACACCGATTTCACCCTAGGATTATAGGAGGCCTCCCAGTCTTCATTAATTCTGGAGTGCTGCCCCACTGGGGCAAGCCCAGCTACAACCCCATCCCCCTTCGAATCTAGTTTAAAGCTCTCCAAATGAGCCCTGCTAATTCGTGCCCCAGCACCCTTTTGCCTCTGTGAGATAAACCTTTCCCACTTGTCATTGTCCAGACTGGTGCCCTATAAAACCAGCTGCTATCAAGGAATCCAAAGCCCTGCCTGCAGCACCAGTCTTGAAGCCAATCGTTTATGGACTGAATCTTCCCATTCCGTCCCACATCATCAGTGGAAGATGGAAGGAGTGCGGAGAAGATCACTTGAGCCCCAGACTCTTTCACCATCCGCCCCAAGGACCTGTAGTCTTTCTTCATCCCCCGCAGACTGCGGGAAGCAGCTTCCTCCCCACCTGTCTGGAAGACCAGCAGCAGGTAGTAGTCTGTCGGGTGCACCAGGTTGGGGAGCACCCTAATGATATCCCTGATCCAGGCTCCAGGCAGACTACACACTTCCCTATGATGAGGGTCAACTCTGCATATCAGGCCCTCTGTTCCTCTCAGAAGGGAATCGCCTACTACAATGACCCTTCTTTCTTTCTTATCAGAGGCAGTCTTGAGGTGCAAAGTCGACCCCCTTTTCCTATGTGGCCTTGTGGGCTGGCCTTGCCCCACATCCTCACCTACCTCTCCTTCAAGATCCAGGGCCTCGAACCTATTACGGAGGGACACCTGTGGAAGCAGGGCAGGAAGGGGGGAGGGTTTCCCACGACGCCGAACTGGAACTCTCTTCCAACCCTCGTCGTCTTTTTGGTCCCCTACCTCTGCGCAACAGCTACAGGGCAGGGGCTGTCTCGGGCCATCCCCCTCTGTGTGAGGGGGCAGGGGGTCCTTCCCCTTTTGGGGGGTATCTCCCTGGAACCGTTCCGACTGGCATGCCAGGGAGTTACTCCACCAGTCGATCTCCCTTTCACATTCCCTGATGGTCCTCAGCGTCTCAACCTCCTCCTTAAGTCTTGCCACCAGGCTAAGCAGATCTTCTACCTGCTCACACCTCACACAGGTGGAATGCTGTCCTCCCTCCCCCGGCAGCAGCAGGCTCTGGCACTCCCTGCATCCAGAGACCTGAACAGCCCCGGTTTGGGACAGGGTCTCTGTCTGAGCTGCTGCAGTCACCTTACTGCAAGCTCTCTTTCTGGAGGCGACCATATTGGTCAGCAGTCTGGGACACCAGCAACAGGGTCAGCAACACGACCTGCTTGTTCCTCCCTGCGCCTGGTGGGCAGCCGCTGCCCTCTCAGAGGCTCTTCCAAGGCAAGGGGCAGGGGGGTGGTCGCCGTCACCGTGGGACCGTGACCCCCGCCACGTCAGCCTCTCTCTCGCAAGGGCTGCTGGGGTTTCGGGGATCGGGAGATGTCGGGAATCGCGATGTCTCTGCGCTATCCCCTCTGATTTTCCTATCTCCGTTGACCCTCGCGGTCGCTGAAGCGTGCCGGCTGTGGCTCTAGCTGGGCTAGCTCCGATCAGCTGACTGACTCCTCTAATGGGCTCATGGCTGTGAGGTGCAGCAGAGCCTTGGCTAATTCATTGGGATACCAATTGACCATGCTTCTTAGGGCAATAAAGTGAGCAAACAATTCTAAGGGGTGGGAGGGAAGTTGCATTTCAGAATAAATCTCTTTTATCAGTTTAAATATGCAGATTTGCTTTTGAATACTGCACTTTTGGGGGGTGGTATCTTATTAAGCATGTGATAGGGAGTTAAGCAAGTCTTCTGTAATTAAATAGCAGGGCGCCCTAAAGTATCAGAGAGCGCTCAGCCTTGTCTGTTGCTGAGAAAGGAACACACACATTCATTACTTGTTTGCTTTTCTATGCAGAGTAGAATTGGAGTGGTGGAATTCATCTGCAGCAATTTGCAACGGAATTTCTTCTTGTGGCCTTCCTTTTCCCCGACTCTCCTTATTATACTGCATTCCACAAGTACACATATGAGAAAGGAGTTGTCAGGATAATCTCAAACAAGCTAGTGTGAAATACATTTTCGTCTGAGAACTTACTTATTCTGGCACTTAGTGAGAATTACAAGTTGTTTGAAGCGGGATAAGGAAGAATTTAACTGATTGTGCCTTAAGAATTGTATTTGAAAGAAGTAAATGGAAATCTCATAAAAGAACAGTTGTGGATGCACATGTGATTCTATGATTCTGTGATTCTGTGATTCTATGATTTATTTGGGATACATCCTTCTCTATTTTCTTCCCCAATGTGAAAGATTTAGACAGAAATAAAACTACCATATAGCTCAGGGTAACTTATGGATGTTTTTGCAGTGTGTTGTTATAACAGAATCATTCTTTTTTTTTTGGTGAAATAATTAGGACATTTTAATTTACTCCTGGGTAAATACAACTTCTCCTTCATTGTCTTCCAGGTACTGTCCAGCATGTGTCAAGCATTAAGTCTGAGCAAAGTAGTGCTCTTGAAAGTGGTTTACTGCTGTGTCTGTTGGCTTAGCTGAATCTTGCTGATGCAGTATTAAGAAGGTTCGCTGTTTCATGGCAGTCTATAAACTTTCAGTACCTGCAGTGGAGCTGTGTAATCACAGCAGCCAAACTTGCTGAATTCTGTATTTGTTGTCTTTTGTGCTTGAAATCCCAGTTTCTAGTGACTGTTTTAAAAGGGTTAAACTCAAACTATATTCTCACTCTCCATTATACTGCACTTTGTGCTGGGGCTGTGGATATTTTCTTGAGGTCACTCTGGTGAACACATTACCTCATTCATATTACTTCACAGGCTGCTTCTAACAGACAAGGCTCTCATCTGGCACATCAGCTAGGATGTGGATTGCATCAAACATCCTGAAACCCTTCAGACTTTTCTAAGGAGGTGTTTAATATGTTTGATACGGTTGAGTCACTTCTGACTGATCTTTTCTCCCGTTCTCACAGCATATTGGAAGGAGGAAGATGCCAGTTGTCAGAAACATGAGCCGAGCTGTCTGCCAGCTGCTACAGAACTCTGGTTGTGGATGTGGGATTCCCGTCATTCCTGCTCGATGCATTGGAGTCTCGCCCCGCCAGGTGGCCTCCGATGCTAGCTTTCACTCAGTTTCCTTTTCAAACTCCAATCATCCTCGGGTGCTAATCACAGGTCAGCATTCCTGTCATAACTATTCCCGCTCCAGTTTCTCCATCGAGTCCTCACTCCCTTCCTCCCTCTCTGGTGAGCAGAATGCTGGAAACAAAACTACTCAAAATATGCTGGGATTGTGATGATCCTTCCCTTATGGCAATAAGATTGGAGTCCTGTCTTAGTAGGAAAGTGAACTGTCCTCTATTATTTTTATTCCAGAAATTTACTAAAACCAGTTCATTGGATTTTCCTTGAGAAAAAAGTATAAAAGCTTTTTGACTCACTGAGAAAAATAATATTCATTTCTGGTGTGATACATATAATCTTGGATCTCTGTCTTTTGATAGCCCTTTTCCTCTGATTTTTGTCTCTTGTGCATTGCCTTTTAGGTGGTCTTGGCCAGCTTGGAGTGGGACTTGCTAAGCTTCTGAGGTACGTTGATATTCTCTGACTTGCTGTGGGGAATTAAAGCTTTAGCCATCACTTCTAGAAGCAGTATATTTCTGAAGAGTTGATTGTAACAGGATCCTGGTGATGACTGCAGATATTCTCTTTTTTGGCCTAGCCAAACAAGGCTGGATTTGAGTGCTCAACAGAGAGACAAAGGCTGTGATTTTATTCAGCTACTACAGGAGAGAGAAAAGTACGAACACCCACTTGAAAAAATGCATAGTCCTTTGCTAAGTACCCAGCTGTTGGGCTTTGTGATTGCTGCCTTTTACCTTTCTGAGAATTTCAGTTGAGCAACTTCAGGAATAAGTTGCCCCATATAGTAAAGTACAAACAAAATCAAAGATTAGGATACAAGATCTTGAAATTTTTATGATCTGGCGAAACATAAGCTGGTGCAGCAAAAAAAAGTAAGTCTAAAATACATTTCTTTTGGCTCGTTCTGTTCCCCTGCCTTACATACAGTTGTCTTATTTTTACCATGGTATCTTTTCTCAATGTAAAATGCTCTGAGAGCTCTCCCTGGTTTATATCATTGTCCATATCCACTCAGCTCTAAAGTATTGCCTGCACGTAGACAGTGTTTGTTGCAGAGGATTTGGACTGTGACCAGAACTGAGCAAACTCACTGTGTTCAACACATTGCTGCAGTTTGAAGATTTTCTACTATTTCTCTGATATATTTAAAAATCATTCAGGTAATGGAAGGCTGAATGTACTCCAGTGCCATCAGACTTGCTCTCTGTGACAGCCTTGTGTTCCTTAAAAAAGCACAAGGCAGAGATTGCTCAGTTGTATTTTCTTTGTTGATATAGAAGTAGCTGCAGTTGCAGCAAGCCCAGTGGCTTTTTGCTGTCTGTAGAGGAGTGGGTTATCTCTGGGTAATGTTTTGAGAAAGAAGAGGGCAAGGAAGTCTTTCTTACTAATGTTTTTTCATTTTGTAAAGATACCTCTGTTCTTATGTGGTCTCTCACTGCTACGAGGAGTAGTTTACTGATTTCCTAAGATGCTATATTAACATTTGAAGGATCAGTAGTTGTTGTTTTTTTAGTGAAATAACTGATTTCGTTGTGGAAATTATTGTTCTTTTGATACTGTTCCTGCAAAACAAAATAGCAGAGTAGCAATTTACAAATTATCTGAAAGACTCACTGTACCATGTGGGTATTTTTACACAGGAAACGCTTTGGAAAGAACAATGTGATCTTGTCTGACATTAGAAAGCCTGCAGATAATGTTTTTTATAGTGGTAAGTGACTGGGGGAGCATATGGGAAAAAATCTTGACTTTTACGTTGATAGACTAATTACCAAAGTCTAAATGTTAAGTGGATTAAACTGAACAAATCACTCTTCGAAACTTATGGATAATGCTTTCCTGCTTTGAAATCTTGCCAAGACATTAATTTCCTTTGCCTATTATTTCCTTTTTCTAAATATTTTTCTTTGCTTTTTTCCACTGCTGCTTTGCCACTTTGTTGACCAGAATAACTGCTTGGGTCAAGCTGAGCTTGGCTGTTTGCTCCTGCTGTAAAACGCGATGCACCTATTCTTTGGTAGGGAACAAGTTGGAAATTAAATCCGTGCTTTCTTTTTCTATGCTCAGGCAGTTTTTAATGGTAAGATGGAAGTAGAATAGGATTTTGGGGTCCTTTTATTTTCATTAGGAACTTGCATAAGTTTTTTTTTCATCATTACTGGTTAATGATGTATTTAGGTATTTGAACAGTGTACAGAAAATGTTTCCTGCTTTCATGTTGTTGGGTGGATAAAACAGAAGTTCTTGCATCATCAGTCTGTTATTGAGGTAAAGGTAGCAGTTTCCCTTCATTTGTCTTCCTTATTTACTAATTTATTGACTACTGCTCTTTAGTGTTTATTCTGCTGCATAGTCAAATCCTGAATGTAGGTATGGTCAAGAAGCAGCCATGTGAGTTTAATGTAGAACTTTTCATTACATCTGTTCTTCCCAGTACTCAATTTCCTACTGGTTCCATTTCTTCTAGGTCCTTTTATCTATGCAGATATCTTGGACTACAAGAATTTGCGTGAGATAGTGGTGAATAATCGGATAACTTGGCTGTTCCACTATAGCGCTTTGCTCAGTGCTGTTGGAGAAGCAAACGTCCCCTTGGCCAGAGCCGTAAACATTACTGGTATGTGACAAGGGTTTCAAGTTCATGACTCCTACAGGGGCTTGATAAGGTCCAGTGAGTGTTCTGACAAATCCTGTTGTTTGTCCCAGGTTTACACAATGTTCTGGATATTGCAGCTGAGCATAATTTGAGACTCTTTGTTCCAAGTACTATTGGAGCCTTTGGACCCACCTCTCCTCGAAATCCAACTCCTGATCTCTGCATCCAGAGACCAAGGACAATCTATGGAGTATCCAAGGTTCACGCTGAACTCATGGGAGAAGTAGGAATTTTTCATTTTATTTATTTCTTGAAAATTTTGGGATAACTTAATTGCTTTTGTAAGATTCCTCACTGCAGTGTTCTTTTCCCCATTCTTTCCTTTCTTCAGGCTTCAGTACTCAATAGAAGTCTGAGGCAGCTCTTAAGGACAAGTATCTTTTGAGTTTTGTTAGAAAAAATACAAAGAATTGGAAGCTCACGAAGATCTAACTTTCAGTGTAATTTCTTCCCCTGGTTCTTTTGACTTTGGCCTAATCTGCCAATATGAATGACATTGCAGAAATGACAGTGTACAAAGCCTTGCCAAAGCATCCTGGGAAATGATGACTTTTGGTCCTCCCTTTTCCATACAAGAAGAATCTACAGTCCGAGCCATGGGAGTCTGTACATGCACAACATCTCTTTTGGCTTTGTAGTTTATTATAAAGATAATATTAAAACTGATATTGTTATATACTGTTTCCTCGTACTTTAAATTTATGAAGAACATTGGCAGGCCTAAAGACTGTATTAACCTGAAAAGGCTCACAAACTTAGGTATTTTCTGTTTCTGAGCACTAGATCTAGACCCTGTATTAAGCTAATCCATATCAAGAATCCATATCAAGAATCCATCTCTACTGATGTGGATGCAAACCAGAAAAGAGCAAGTAGGGACATCAGCTACCTTATAGCGAATTATAATGTTCACCAGTCCCTTTCCTTTCATCCCTTTCATGGGATGGCTACAGCACAAAGGTTCATCCTGTGGCAGATTTATCCTGTGAAATCACTGAGTTGTGAGGCCTTAGTCTTGATGCATAAAGCTGTGCTTCTCTTCCCCTTCCATAGTACTATCATTACCGGTATGGCCTAGACTTCCGCTGTCTGAGGTATCCAGGAATTATATCCGCTGACTCTCAGCCTGGTGGGGGAACAACTGGTAAGAGACTTGTGTGCAGTTCTCAGCATTGCAGGCAAGAATATCAAAACCAAGCCAATACACTGTAATTTATAATGTTTTTGTAGACATTTAATCCATGGCAGTATGAAGCATCACTGTAGAGATGCTGTTTCAACAGTGTTACAGAAGTTCTGTCCACTCCAGCCTAAGGCATAATGTCTTTGCCTTTAAATAATATCTGAGAAATTTCAGATTATTTGCACTCATTGAGATGATTTGCTTTAAAATTATTTTAAACTCTTGTGTCTTGCTGCAGTGTGCAAATACTGGAATAACATTGGGATAGTTTGGAATTACTTACACTTGTGCTGTAAAATGTAAATAATGCATAGTCCTGTGGCTAGATTTTATATGGAAGACATTGAGGGTGGTCTGAGGATCATTGACTGTCACAAAGTGAACAACAGATGGAGGCAGATGAGTACACACCCCCATTGTTCTTTTCTACAGATTATGCTGTCCAGATTTTCCATGATGCCATAAAGACAGGCAAATTTCAATGCTACCTAAAGCCAGACACTCGTCTCCCTATGATGTATATTGATGACTGTGTGAAGGCGACTCTAGAAGTCATGGAGGCCCCTGCAGAGGCACTGAGCATGAGGACATACAACATCAGTGCCATGAGCTTCACTCCTGAAGAGCTGGTGCAGGAGGTGCAGAAGCATGTTCCTGAGCTTCAAGTGACCTACAAAGTAGATGAAATCAGGCAGGCCATAGGTTAGTACTGGCTTCTTTGGCAGTGGGTAAGAAAAAAACATTAGATTGCTATAGGTTAAGTGCAAAATAAAGTTTATTTTCTTTATAGGTGCTTGCAAATTGCTCCTGTACAATTCAAGTGTACAACTGAAATTCAGCTTTAGTAATTCAAGTGGCCAGTGATGATATATTTTAAAGTTTAAAGTTCTTCTTAAACCTCATGCTCCTTGTTTCTTCTCTCTTTTCACTGCAGCTGACAGCTGGCCGATGAACTTTGATGACAGGAATGCCCGGAGGGATTGGGGCTGGAAACATGACTATGATCTCCCCGAGCTGGTGACTACAATGTTTAGCTTCCTAGGGTCTGACTCCAGGATTGCTCAAGTTAGCTGAAATACTTTGTAAGATGTTTCCAGATTTCTAAAGAGGACCAGGAAGAAATGGCTAAATTAGTTTATATTTTTCTGAGTCTGAGAGCATGTCAGTTATTAGCTTTCATAAGTAGCAATAGAGTTGGGCAGAAACATGCTGTTGCTGGAATCTACTATTAGATAACATGCTGTTGCTGGAATCTACTATTAGATAAACAACATTGTTTGGTGCTGTCTGCAATCACAGCACCGATGACAAACACAGATTTCTTGAGCTTTCATACTTAAGCAGCTATCAAAAAAAGTTAAAAAAAGCACTTACTGCTGGCTGATGACTCTTCAACCATTACTGCTGCCTGCCTCTTCTTTGGCAAACAACTTGGGCCAGTAATGTCAAACCTGGTATTTCAGGCATATCCCACCAAGTTAACGATAGGTTTCTCTTTTTTCCTGGTGGAGGATATTATACCGTAGTAAGATACCATCCTTTCTATTCTTTGCTGACAGAAGAGAGATCAGAAGAGCTACTTCATGTTTTTATATTGCAGGGGTTGTTGCAATTTTTGTTTGAAATCAAACTTTGGTCATAGTTCTTTTATATATATGTGTATATATATTGCTGTAAACATTTTTCTATAGGGCATACAAGGTAACATTATTCTTATAAGGCTTAAGAATGTGAAGGGGAATAGGACTTGAATTCTCATTACGCTTTAAAAACCCAGGGTTTACAAGCTAAGCTTTGTCCTACTCTGAAAGTGCTGCTGCCTCCAGTTTACCCTTGGAGGTAGATCTGAAATGTGAGGAGTTGTTATGTTGTTATGTGTATGTGAATCTTGGGCGTATTTCAAGCAGGCAATGCTTATGTATGGGTTTATTACTAATTGGCAACACTTTTGGTTATCCCAGTTGTTTGCTGTGCTAGCGTGATGACATACTGCCTGGAGCAAGTTTCCAGGGTGGGCTGATGATGGAGCCTTACGGTAGAGTCCCATAAGCCATTGTAATCTGTTTGTGTTCACTACATTTTCCTTGTGCACTGTAAGTGTATTTGTAGATGCTATTTATGCCTAACTGTCATATGCTTTTATTCTTTAGAGAGGGATCCAGAAGCTGAAACCACCTTCTAGCTATAGTTAAGGGCTGTTCTGCTCATTGAGTTTCACACACAACAGATTCTGGGATTAACAAGGGTGTCTTAGTAGATGCATGCAAGGAAGATACGTTGATTCAAAAGGTACTACTTAGGAGACATTGAGGAATGACAAACTGGAGAGACAGAAAAGCCATTTAGGTAAAATATCCTTTTCCATGGATGTGACTCTCAGCCATCAGCTACTATAGCTATAGCATGCCTTGAGAGGCAGAATCTGGGAACTTTTGTTTCTTTCAAAGAAAAAATATCTTTCATTTTCAAAATGACTGGAAATTCCCTATATGAAGCTGTCCATCTTTTTTGTCTTGTATACTCCAATAGTGTGTGTAGGTAAACCTGTTAAAGTCTTTTTTCTACCTACAACTTGTTTGCTGTGTTTTTTGTGACAATGCTTTGGTAGTTGAGTCTTAGTCTCTCTGTAAGCCTGCGGTGTTTCTCAGTAAGTGGATAAGTGACATGACCAGATTTCTGTCTCTCTGTGAAAGAGTCTGCATGCTGCAGGGAATATGTTTTCTCATGAAAGCCACCTTCAAACAAAGATCTGTGGTGAAACCCAGTTATTTCAAGCGTTTGTTAAACTTGTTTCTCTCAGGTTTGTTACATATTTTACTGTTTTGGCTGCTGGCAAAGTATGCATTTACCAGCTCCTTAAGCTCAAAAACCCCTAAGCTTTTGGCCTGTTATTGAAACATTTTTATATTGTTTACATTTTTGAAAAGACAAGTTTTTAAACTTTGGCTGCTGCTCTAGCTATCACATTGTTCAAGTGTAGTATTTGGCTCAATGGGCCAGCAACGTCATGGCCCTCCATTTGTACCCTACCAGGAAAGACTGGCTCAGATTTTGTCCTGTGCCCTGCCAGATCTCTCCTAGTGAACTTTACGCTGAGCTGTCAGGTGGAGGCCTTTAATGTGAGCTCAAGTGTCCTGTCCATTCCAGCCTCAGTTCAGATCCTAAGGACTCCTTGTTGCCTCCATTCCACCAGATGTGTAAAATAGTTGTTGATAGATCTCACTCCATTTCCTTACTTCACTTAGTTGGTTTAGGAACAGCCATTTGAGAAACCTATTTTTTGCAAATCTGAGATAAACCATATTACAATAGAGAGTTGTTTGGAGGTAACAGTGCAGTGTTAATCAGGACTGTGGCTAGATGTGTCTAGATAGGTCTGGAAGGTCTGATTCCTGTTTGAAATCCTGGTTTTCAACCTGTGATGCATGCATTTTTTTTCATACCTTCCCCATTAACTTCTGTTATAACAGAGTCTTGGGTTACATGGTCTAGAGTGAGATGTCCCTGCCCATGGCAGGGGCTTGGAACTAGATGGTCTTAAGGTCCTTTCCAACCTTAACTATTCTATGATTCTATGTTACAGTATCTTCTGTATCACACCAGTTTGGTGTGGTATGAAATGTCTAATTTTGCTACCAGTTTGAATTTTGACTTCTGGGCAGAGACTTCCCTCATGACGTTTGAGCATTATAGCTGTTTAAATTACCTATTCAGGAAAGAAAAGTTGTTAATATTTTGTTTTTCAAATATTGTCAGTTGTGGATGATGCCTACTTTAATAAAATCCTATACAGATGTATCTTGTTTTGCTATCCCTGTTTAGAGCATGTAAGAGCAGTGATGAAGAATCTCAGTTAGTGCTGAAGCGTTTTAATCAGCCACAGAAGCGATGCATGATTGTAGGCACAGAGAAACATACAGCCCTCTCAGTCTGTGTAGTGACTCTCAATGATTTGTATGACCCACCTGCCTTGTTAATTGATGAATTGACTCTTCTTCAGGTTTTAAACCCTTTTCCTCCTCCTATGCCTCAATAATGATGGGAAACCTTTTGGTGGAGGAAGCATTCCACTTGACCATAGTGCAATGACTATTGCAACCATTGTTTCTTGCAGAGTACGTGAGGGTGTTACAACACCATCCTCTTCCCAGCTGCTTCAGTTTAATAGTGAGTTTATACATGATCAGTCTGGCTTCTATAAGTGCAATAGGTGATGGTGCTTCATCCAAAGCTGCTGTAGTGGGGGAGAGGACCAACATTACCAGGTCCCTACAAAAAACAACTATTCCACTTTTCCTATTTTCCCTCCATCAGAGACATAAGAATATTTTACACTGTAATCACATTGATGCAGCAGAAACAAAGGCCCCCTAACCTGTTTGCTTTCAGTTCTCAGATTTACATCTTGCAGCAATGGGCTTTGCTGTCCTCACTTTGCTGTTTTCAGTAAGGGGGAACACACAGACCTGAAGCAATGCTCATGCCATGGTTATCAGTAGGTACACCCTAAAAAGCTTTAAAGGAAGGTGCTCTGCTCCTTTTCAAGGTCCCAGTGCTGATGGAGCATGCACACCACTGTGCAGATAAAGGCTGGAAAGTGTGTGATTTGTGCCCCCTTGTTTCAAATTAACTAGAGTTTTAAAGTCTCATGGCATGACGAGAGGTAGATTTGGACAGATGGAAGAAGACAGGACAGTGGACTTAAAGTTATGGTTGGAGGCAGATAGAGCTGGATGGTTTGAAGACATCTCCGCACATCTCCACAGCTCTTCTGAAAGTTAATGTAAAGCTGATTGGAAAACATCTGCAGGAGGGGTTGTTTCTTAGCGCAGACATAACCTCAGGTTACTCAGCCAAACTTTCCCAGAGGAGAAAATGAGATTGTGGAAGGTTGACCCTTACTGGACACCAGGTGCTCACCAAGCCACTCCATCACTTCCCTCCTCAGCAGTACAGGGGACAAGAATATAAGATAGAAAAGAACCCACATGGGTCAAGATAAAGGCAGTTCAATAAAGCAAAGGCAAAGGTTGTGTGTGGATGCAGATGAAAACAGAAGATTTTATTCTCTACTTCCCATAAGCAGGTGATGTCTGGCCACTTCCTGGTAAGAAGGATTTCAGTATGTGCGGTGGTTGCTCCAGAAGGCAAATGCTGTAAATAACAAGTTCCTCCCCTTCCTTCTCCTTCCTCTTAGCTTTTATTGCTGAGCAGAATAAGAATAGGTCAGGGATTAGCCCAGAGCAAAACCATATGCAGCAGGCAATTTTGATTCTGTGACCCTGTTTTGGAGAGCAAACAAATCCAATATACGGTTACAGAAAGGCTGTGCCAGCCAGAGAGAGCCCAGGCTTTGCTCAGGTTGGTCATGAAGTCCTTCATATGGGTGTCTCAGTGTCTGGCACAGGAAACCAAGAAGCAGGAGAGATGTGGCCATCTCCTTTCCACCAGCGTCCTGGTACTTGGCCATCCAGACACACTTGGGAAGAAGCATGAGGAGGTTCTTGAATATCTTCCTGTAATCAATTCACATGTCCCCTGACCCTCTGAAGTTCAACAGATGTGTCCTCCTTTGCTGCTGGTTCCTCAGCATGTCTCTGCCTTTGCTCCCAGTCTTGTGGGCCTCCTCAGCCCCTTCCTTGTTAAGGGGAAAAGGGTAGGACCATGCTCCTGGTGGGATAAACACATTCCCAGTAATTCCCCTCCTACAGTGAGGTCACAGTGTGTAGCTGGATGGGTGGGATGACCTTTAGACCAATCCTGAATAGAGGAGGTTCTTGGCAGGGGATTCTAGACTGCAGCTCCAAGGACACCAGCAAACTGATCATTTTTGGCAAGAAAGGAGCGTTGCTGCAAGGACGATCTCTCCTTACCTATCTGGTGCAATAGGTCCCTAATCTCCCCAGCCTTTACGTAATGCCAGGGTAAAGACCCATCACCATCAGAACTTTTGCCAAAGCAATGTGTCACAGGAGAGAAAGCAAAGTCCAGACATTGTCCACTGACTATCCGTTTCCCCTTCACCCAACGCTGCTGGTTCTTTGCATCTGAAAACCAAGATTCATGAGATTTGGTGCATTTTTTAAAGCCCTACCTCCTGGAGTCTTGAATTCTGAGAGGCTCATATGAGGTTCTGTAACAGTCCATACCTTTTTAATCTTTATGAATTAAAGGCAAAAAATAATCTTCTGAAAATTAATATGAACTGCAGCAGCCCAAAAATCTGTAATTTC